TGGCACAGGCCTGCTGTGTGATTTGGGGGACAACTGCAGTCTAGCCCAGTCTCCTCCAACAGGTGTCTTGTGCCTCTCTCCCACATACCAGCCTTGGGTCCTCTCTTCCTCCCTGGCCTAGTCATACCAACCTTAGCTGTTCCTCCTTTCACACCTAGGTATGTCCACAGTCCTCTTTGATGCCAGGCACTCATCCATTCTCAATACTAAGATTGTCAATGTAGATACCATCATCACTTCTTTTTTTTTTCTTTTCCATTTTTTTCCTTCTTTTCTTCCTCCTTCTCCTCCTCTCCCTCCTCTTCCTCCTCTTTGTCTTCCTCTTGTCATCCCCCTCTTCCTCTTTTCCCTCACTATACCCCCAGTCCTTTATTAAAAATTTTGAGACAAAGTCTCACTAAGTTGCCCAGGTTGGTCTCAAACTTGCAGTCTTCCTACCTTAACCTCCCAAATTGCTGGGATTACAGGCGTCCATCATAGTCCCTGGCTTATTCTTTCTTTTCCCAAGGGTCCTAGAGAGATTTCATCACTTCTGTCCTATGGTCACATTACCAGGCTATGACTATGGAGCGGATTTCACACCTTATCTCCAGAGCCAGCATTTTCCCCCTGCGTCCTCCCATTCACAGGGAATGGCCAGAGCCCTGCAGCATGGTCATCTTTCCCCCTAGCTTAAGCCACTGCTTGATCACACTTGTCTAAGAGCTGGACAAGTTGAGTCCATAGCCAGGGCACAGCCTTTCCAATGCCATTCCACCCATCTGCACATCTGGTGGTGTTAGCCCACCCACAGCTCACTCAAGCTGTGGTTTTTTTGTTTGTTAGTTTGTTTTGGGCGTGCTGGGGATTGAACCCAGGGCCTTGTGCATGCTAAGCAAGCACTCTACCAACTGAGCCATATTCTCAGCCCCTTAGCAAGCTGTGTCGACCAGCTGTGCTCACCAATGATAGCCAGCTGTACCTCAAACTCCATCTTTGTTCTGATCCCCCTTGCCAAGGGACCTTTCCCAGTTTACTTGCTTCCTATTCCCTGCTCTCTGTGTGTCTGCCTGAGACCTGTCCCCATCTATCCATGTGGCCTTGCTCTCAGAAGATAATCTCCTGTTTCCAAACTGCACAGCCCTTCAGCATGCTCCTCCTGCAGGGTGACATTTGTTCTGTGAACCCTCTCAGTTCAAGCTTTTCAGAACACCTCTCTAGCGGAAGGAGTCATGACAGAGTTCCCAGATCTTAATTGTATCCATCCTTCTGACCTAGTCCTCTAGCTGCCTCTCCCCCCGACCTTCCCTCTTCACAGCGCCAGCGTCCTTGGGAGGGACCATGTGGCACACTGGCACCCTTCCCACCTCCTCTGCCACCTTGCTAGCCCTGCCCACAAGCCAAGTTGCCTACACCATAGATGTCACAGTTGCAGCTGTCCCAGAGGGGAAGAGCCTGAGGCATGAGGTCATGGGGTTCAGTTGTCTGCCAGGGTAGGATCTAGAGCACTCTGCATTAGGAGCGTCCCCTGCCCTGCCTAAAAGAACCCACAAAATGCTCTTGGTGTGAGGGAAGCAGAGCCCTAGGGAGGAGCAGGGAACAAGGCAAGGTCAGCAGCTCCAGGTTGGGGTGGGGGTGTCCAAGGAAGGGCAGCTGCTGCTGCTGCCCCAGGGACACCAGCTGGCTTAGCCCAGCAGGCCAATGGGGTGATGCCACTTCTAGCCCCGTGTTTATTCAGGCGACTGGCAGGCTTTGCTGTTCCCACGAGGGGAATAAACTATACTGCTCCTCTGGGTTCTCAGAGCCAGGCTGGCCTCAAACCCTCCTCTGTGGAAATCTAGAATAATGGCTTCTACTGAAAGCAGAAGAGATTGGAGATTATAAATCAGTGAGCAGGGGTCCCTCTGGGGATCAGGAGGCAGGAGCTACCTTTGTGGGGCTGCCCCTTGCAGCAGAAACTTAGGGCCAGTTTCAAGGTATTCGGGAGTCAGGTGAGAACTTATTTCAAATAGAAAAGATATTCTGTCCACACAGAGTTGCCAAAACTTTTCATAGAGTCCTGTATCCACCACAGGGAACCAGAACACAGGGGGACAGGTATGGACTACATTAGTCCCATCCTTAGTATAGGGGCCAAGATTGTAAGGTGTTAGTTCTCAAGGTAGTCTGTTATCAAGGTGGCTAAGGGGTCGGTACCTTTGTCTGTCAGATTGCCCTGACTTAGGGCAGCACTTTTCACTAGTGAGGATCTTCTTGTTTGTTTATTGCTTCCTGCCCGCTTTCGGAGGGTGATCTTCACCAGGGCACCAGGTTCATTGGTCTTGCTCACACTTGATCCCTCAGCACTGGACACATTCATGAAAGAACAACACACTGGACCTAGTGGGCTCTGTTATCTTAGGACAGAGGACTACAGCAGGGACATCCACAGTGCTGCTCTTGACACGTGCTTATGGATTATGGAAATGCTTGAACCCCATTAAGATACCAGAATCTCAGCCTGAGGAAGACCTGCCCCTCTCACAGCCTCTCACACAGTTCTGCCCCCTTTTCCAGCAGCCATACTTAAGGTGGCACTTTTCATGCTTGTTTTGTTTTTTGGTGAGATACTGAGGATGGACTCCAGGGGCCCTTCACCACTGACTGAAGTACATTCCCAACCTGCTCTACTTTTATTTTGAGTTTGTTGAAGCTGGCCCCAACCTGTGATTCTCCTGCCTCTTCCTCCAGAGTTGCTGGGATTACAGGCAGGCCTGCACCCATACCAGTTTGAAAATCTGCATTTCTATAAATTCCTGTATGATGCTAATGCTGTTGGTCTCTACCTACTAGGACCAGGGCCAGGAGGCTGGGTGCTGATTCAGCTCAGCAGCTTTTAGGGGGGGCAGGGGAATACTGAGGATTCCATAAAGGGCCTCACACATAGTAGGCAAGTGCACTACCACTGAGCTATACCCTGAGCCCTTTTTAAAATTTTATTTTGAAACCCTCTCACTAAATAGCCCAGGCTGGCCTTGAACTTGCAATCCTCCTCCCTCAGCCTCCCAAATAGCTGGGATTACAGAAGTGTACCACCATACCTAGCAAGCTCTGCCACTTTTTAAAATGACTTTCAGCTATTAAGGTAGCTTAGTAATAAAGCTTTTGCCTAGCATGTGCAAGGCCCTGAGTTCAATCCCCAGTACTGAAAAAAAAAAAAAAAAGAAAAAAGAAAAAAAGAAAAATTATAAAATGACTTTCAGCAAATCACAGCCTTATTCAGGGCCTCAGGATTCTTCCTATAAAAGGTTAGGCTTGAGTTCTGGGGTCTGTTCCAGTTGTGACAGTCTATGAAAAATAACCACTTAACATATTCCATGCACATCTGTGGGTATTAACTCACTCAGTCCTTATAACAATGCATAGGGAAAGTGCTAGTACTATACTATCCCCATTTTTACAGATAGGAGACTGAAGCAGAGGGAGTTTGAGTAATTTGCCTGAGATCCCAGATCTAGGAATAGAAGTAATGAGGTATGAACCAGTTTTCTCCAGAACTCATGCTGTTAGCCATTGCTCTTGACTGTCCTTAACAGCCTCCATGAAGAATGACTTCACACCCAGTAAGACCACTCACTCTGGGAATTCTCAAAACAAGACCTCTTTCTCATGCACTTTTGCTCTTACAGTTAATTCTGTGCAATTTACAGAGGCTGGTCTGGCTTAAGCCCCATAGAACACAGTGAGTCCTTCCAGGGCTTAAAACCTGGCATGCATTGAGATGTCCTGAGAATGGCATGGCCAATGTTTCTGGAGTCTGGTTAGTTTAACAAGCATCTTCTGGTCTTCTCTGGGCAGCCCCCATAAGAGCCATTGGAGCCACAGTGTCTGGGTGTCACGGTCTGCCTGGATATATACACGTTGCCCTGGCTCTGAGCCACCAAGGCTTCCCTCTGGGACATTAGTAACATCTTACCAGGCTGCAGATCTGTGGCTGGCCATGTCTGAACTTTACATTTCCCATGTCTATCTGTTAAGGACGATGAAAAGCAAACACATCCTGTATTTTGCATAGTTGCTTCCTCTACCAACCTCATAAACAGGGCCCAGAGAGCATCACATCAAACATTTTAGATGCTCATGGAAACCTTAGTATAGGGGCCAAGATTGGAAGGTATTAGATCTCAAGGTAGTCAAACTTCTCTAAAAATAACTCCAGGAGACAGGAGTTGACAGCTTTCCTATGATTCAGATCCTATTCAGTGTTTAACTTCGGCTGGATGCTGCCTCTGCTGCCCCCAGCCCACTCTTGCCCTGCTCTGAACTCACTAAACCTCTCTCATAGAATATAGGTAGTCTTTAATCCAGGACAAGAACCCCATGAGCATTTAGGTCCTTTTTCTCTGCCATACTGCACTTTAGACACTTGGAAGACACTCGCCAGAGTTGGTTGACTGAAATGTAGCTTTGGCCCTTTATGGTATGAACCAGGTCTGAACAGGGCTGATATGCCAAGGAGGGGTGGTGTAGGGAAACTTCCCATTGGTGAATAGAAAGGTTTGAAGTTAGCCTATCAATTGTCTACGTAAATGATACTAAAGCTAGAAAATAGTTTGTGCTCATTAGAATAGCAAACTGAGTAGATTTTTTTTGGCCCCTCTTCTAAAATTACTTGGAAAATCTTTAACTGAGCAACTGATTCACATGTGCAGATGAATAGAGGTTTGTTATAGTGGTCTTCATCACTGGGTAAGGCAGACTCTACAAAAGACAGGAAAGGAGCCAGGTCGCCCAGGAGAGGCAATGCTATTATTAGAAAAACAATGATGGTTTGGGCAATATTTCCAACAGTTGGCCATCCTGTGCCCTGCCTGGGGCTGGGCACACTCTTGGGCTGCAGTTACTTATTGGCCAATTCCTCAGGAGTGTTCTCAGGAGTCTCCATGTCTATTGTGTATCTAGGCTCCGCGGCTGCTGGCTGCCTACTGCGTGTCTTAAAACACTGTTAACAGATCCTCTTTTTGAATCTTCTCTCTTCCCAGGAAGTTTCTAAAAACCTCACCAAGGAAAACGAGCAAATCAAAGAGGACATGGAAGAAATCCGAACTGAGATGAATAAGCGAGGCAAAGAGAACTGCTCTGATAACATCTTAGACAGCATGCCAGACATCCGCTCAGCTCTGCAGAGGGATGCAGCGGCAGCCTACGCCCACCCAGAGGTACAGCCCCAGCCCCTAAGGTCCTCTCCTTACAGCAGTGGGGGTATGAGGCTGGTATCTCTCATTTGCATAGAGCTTTTCAGGGTTCAGTCCTTTAGCAGTCGTGGTCTCATTTCATCTGTACTTAGTTCTGTAAGTGCACTGGGCAGGGGATGATCCCATTTACTGAACCCTGAAGCCCAGAGAAGTTCAGTGAGTAAGTGTCGAAGCCAAGACTCAGATCAGGATCCCTCCAGTCCCAGCCCCATTCTTTTCATTATACCCATCATGCATTTGTGATCACTGACAGATAAGGAGGACATACGTGCATGGTGGATGCACATGGGACCATACAGGCTCATTCCGCTGTCCTGGCATCATTAATAACATCTTCTTGTCTTCTCAGAAATGTCTCTGCTTGAAAATGATAAATTACATGGTTCCCCCATTTACAAAGGGTTTAGTTATTTACTACATACTTTCACCACTAACTGTGTGGTCTTCACCGCAGCTCTGGAAAGTAGGCCAGGCAGAGGTCAATACCCCACTATCTTGCAGAGGACACAGATCCAGCAATGTTCCTTATCTCCCTGGCTCAGTTGGAAAGCAATGGCAGAGCCTCCAACCTCTATTTCTTCCCATCCAGTTCTGTCGCTAGTATGAAGCTACACTTTTGGGAAACAGAGCACTGTCTAAGATAATTTGAGTGATGCCAAAAGATCTGCTTGCTTAAAAGTGCCTTTACATTTAATGCCTGTTTCTTTTGGCTCCAGTTACTACCAACTTATTTTTATGTGCTAATGATTAAATGCAATGTACTGAGTTATCTTCTAAATTCATTGCCAAGGAACAGGCATTAATTTGGAAGATAACCTGAAAGTGTGGAAGAGGAAACAAGTAAATTTTGGTGGCAGGACTGGAAGAGTCCTGTAAGACATGCTGTTAGCAAAGCTGGTCTGGACAAAGTTTTATAAAAGGGTCTCAGGGACAGAAACACTTCAGGGAAGCCTTGCTTACTGACTTAAGCTGGATACCAAGAATCAGTGGTGGATGCACACTGGTGCCTTGGGGATAGGTGTGTCATTGAGAAAATCCCTCTGTGGAAAGTAGGTATGGGTGGGGGCTGGGGATGTGGCTCAAGCGGTAGCGCGCTCACCTGGCATGTGTGTGGCCCGGGTTCAATCCTCAGCACCACATACTAACAAATGTTGTGTCTGCAGAAAAACTAAAAAATTCTCTCTCTCTCTCTCTCTCTCTCTCTCTCTCTCTCTCTCTCTCTCTCTTAAAAAAAAAAGAAAGAACATAGGTATGGGTATGGGTTGAGCAGGGTCTGGGTCAGTTAGATTCCCTGAGCCAGTCCCTCTGTGTGTTGTGACGTGAACAAGGTTGGGAAGTGTGTTAGCTTTCTGTTAATGCAACAAAACACCTGAGATAATTGACTGAAAAAGAGAAAAGATTTAATGTGGCTCACAATTTCAGAGGTTTCAGTCCATGGTTGGTTAATCTCATTGCTTTGGGTAGGGCGTACGTGGTACCACAAAGCCAGTCATCTCATAGTGGCTAGGAAGCAAAAGAGAAGATGAGAAAGAGGCTCGGGGTCCCCGCACCTCCTCCAAGGGCATGCCTTCGATGATCTACCTTCTTCCCATCTCTCAAAAACACCATGGGCTGAGCCAACCCTTGAACACATGGTCCTTTGGGGGACACTTATGGTTTGAACTATAGTAGGAAGCATTGTTTTGCAGAACTTTATGAGTTGAGAGGGAAGGAAGGCTGAGAACTTTAGGATAAAGAAACTCGTCACAGAGCTTCCAAGCAGGCCACAGCAAAGGGTTTAGGGAATCTTGGTCACATGTATACTGGAGGCAGGACAGCAGGCAGATGAGGTCTCTGAGGCAATAAGCCCTGAAAAAGAATGGTGCCTGCACCTCCCCGATATATAACCAAAGTACAAACAATCCCAAACCACAGAATAATTATAAGGCAGGGCAATAAGTCTTGCTTTGCCCATGATGACTACTTTGGTGATTTTTTGGAAATAGCATATTCCTTCAGAAATTATTTTTATTCTCATTTTGGGGTGTCCCCAACATGCTGACCACGAAGCATGTGTTTAGTCTGCTCGGTGGGTCACCCCTGAGCGGGCCTGAGCTTGTAACGGAAGAGCCACGGAAGAGCCAGGGGACTTTTGACAAGAAGGGGAACGGAAGGCACCTGCTTATCACAGGTGGAGCCAGAACCTTATCCCAGTTCATCTGGCCTCCCCAGCCACCAGCTGCCCGGGGGAGCCAGCATTCCTGACCATCTCTAGCTTCCAGTTTCCCAGTCTGGCTAGGCTGGAGGATTTATCTGTTGTCTTGATGACACAGTATGTGGTATGCTCAAGGAACCCAGCTCAGATTTCCTGAGGGCAAACAGCAAACCAAACCAAACACACTAAACTCTTTTTCTCCTTGCTCAGCAAAGTCCTTCCCCTCCCCAAATTCCCATTCAGCACACTGCTGCAGTTAGCACAATCCACCCAAACCAGACGGGCGGGGTGGTCAGGGGGAGTGGTGAAGAAGACCCTAAGGTAGGATCTTCCTCTCCCTTTGCAACCCTGTCTCTTTAGTGAACCCCATGCCGAAAAGGGGGTCGATGGACATGGTTGTTCATTTTCAGGGTTCTTGCAGATGACGTCAGGGGTTTCTTGGAATGGTGAGTGGTCAATTTGTAGGAGGCCTCTCTTCAACCTGGCCCCTGCCTAGAGGGTTGGCAGGGGGCTGGGGGACTGGAGTGGAGAGGGCAGGGTGGGAATGGGAACATCAGTGCCAGGAGTTGAAGTCATACAACAGCCTCTTGGATTAACAGAGAGGAAATCAAAGCTTTTTTGCAGCAGCTGCCGCCCAGTGCAGCCTGTCGCCAGTGAATCCAGGGAAATTATATGTTCCCTGGCAAAGGCTGTCCATGGTCTTGCTCCATCTCCTTGGCTGGAACAAAAAAAAAAACTGAAGTTCCCACCCTTGCCTGGGAGCCTGGAACTAAAGACAGTTGCTAGGGTTTGCCACGAAGAAATGACAACCTCCTTTTGCAATGCAGAGGGGAACCGGGGCTCGGCAATTAGATGCCTCTCTGGGTCTGAGTCAGGGGATGTGGCGGGGGGCCTCTTGTCAGCCTCCCAGACAGCTCTTTCCACTGGGAAATGAGGGATCTCCCAAGTCTGCTGGGCAGTAGCCAGACCGTGGCCCTGAGCTCACGGGGATGTAAGGGAGTTTGGGGATGGCAAACAAATGGTCCTGTGGTCACAGCTGTGGGTAGTGTGGCTCAGAAAAAGAAAGAGTGCAGACCCCAAAGTATGGGCCTATTTGTTGGTCATGTGATTTGATAAGCACCACTTCCTCAGCCCCTTCATTAAACGATTTTCAACTAAACTGCTAAATGACTCTGAGCCTCTGTTTCCTCATCTGTAAAATGTGGATAGCAATAACTACTTTGCCCCGTGATGATGTAAGGGTTAGAAATCATATAAAGGGTCATAGCCGTAATAGGTGCTCACTAAAATATCATTATCAATGGCCAGGTGTCCACCACACCTCTGGATAAGGTCACTTCATCATCAAGAACAGGGACTTCAGGGAGGGACAGGTAGCTGGAGTGGGGGCTGCCGAGGGCATGGTCAGCAGGTGGGCCTCCTTCTTCTGGGAAGCCCTTTGGCCCCAGCCAGGGAAGGCTGGCAGATAGGTGTCTCTTGCATTCCAGGAGTCTGTCGCCACTGCGTGCCAGGAGAGAGAGACACAGGCATGTTTGGGAACTGCCGTATCTCTTGCACCATCTGAGTAAACTCTTGTCACGGGAAAACAAGAACAGACTTGGAGGTGTGGTTGGGAATAAGGACTCTGGGTTTCCTCCAGGCAAAAATTTAAAGGTCAAAACAGACTGGTTTTTTTTTTTTTTTTTTTTTTCCTCCTGTGCAAAGTGAAGAAATTGGCTGTGGTGGTGGGTCCTTGCAGTTAATGTGAAGTGGCTGAGGCCCTATTCTGCCTCCAGGCCTTTGCCGTCTGGGACATAGGTTTTATTTCTTCATGGGCTCTGCCGTCAAGGAGGATTTCACCAGGACCCAGAATTACAGGGTCTAGAGGAGTTCACCTGCCTCCTCCTGGTAAAAAGGGGGAGGTTTTGGTGGCTCCAGTGACAGCAGGAAGCTACCTCTTCTTTATTACCTGTTGGAGTCCTTGTGACAGAAGATCTGGACCACATTCCTCTCAGGTTTCCACACTCTCCTGAAGGAGCCATGCCTCTCAGAAGCTGGACTACCTGAAGTGTGGCCCTGACTTTGAGCCCAGCTAGATCACCAGCCTTATGCCCATTGTCCTTTGCTTTTTAAATTTAAGGGAGCATACTCTATGGGAAGGGAATATGACTGAACAGCCTAGTGCAGGACTGAGACCCTGCCCTACTGTGGACACAAGAGGTCAGTTCTTGCCAACTGCAGTGGCTCACACCTGTAATCCCAGTGACTCAGGAGGCTGAGGCAAGAGATCACAAGTTTGAGGCCAGCCTGGGCAACTAAACGAGACCCTGTCTCAAAATCAAAATTTTAAAAAGGCTGAGTGTGTGGATCAGAGGCAGAAGCACTTGCCTAGAATGTGCAAGGCTCTAGGTTCTATCCCTAGAACCACAAAAAAAGAAAGCAAACAAAAATAATAGAAAGGTTTGTTGTCGTTTCACAAAGAAGAGCTCTGGACTCAGACAGTCCACAGCTGGTATGGTTAGCTCCAAGACACAGTGATTTCCATCCTCCAGAATACCCTCGTGGTCACAAGGGGATGGCTGCTCAGCTCCAGCCATCTTGTTCACATTTTAATCCAGGAAAATGAGGAAGAAAGCAAAAGATGCCTCCCTACTTAGTTGGCACTCCCTTTTAGCAACTCTTCCGAAAGCTCCTCCAACCAGCTTCTTCTGCCTATACCCCACTAGCGAGAATGCCCATGTCCGTAATATTGGGTGTCTGTTAGGATTCGGATAATCAATTACAAATCTCTGCCACAAGGAGTTAAGTATGAGAAGGTTTGGGACTATTTCCTGGGAGGCCTGGGATTTTAGATGTCTTTAGAAGTGGGTAGATTTTAGTAAGTGGCTATATGTGGAGGGACATGGAGAGGAGTTGGTAATAACTTTCCAGATAGGAAGTAAAAAATAGTCTGAGCAAAGACCCAGCTGCTCAGGAGAGCTTAGGAGTTCGTCAGCTGACTAACCTAGAGTGTGGATATTGATGGAGTAGGCAAGAGAAGAAGTCAAGGACTTTGGACATTGTTCTGGGGCTGGGGAGTGACAAAGTTGTCCGGTACCCATTCTGATAGTTATAAAACCAATCAGGCTTCATCCGGAGACAATGTGCCTGATGGTCTTCAGGCTTCATGTCCCATCTGGGCACCCTCCCCTCACATTTTTCTCTCTGGAAGCAACTTAGGGCTAAGTTACCTAGGCCAGAGCTGAGAGTAGAACTGGGTTCTCTGGGCAGAGTAGCACTGAGGTCAGAGACCTCAATTCCGCAGCCATGCTGCTGTGTGGGTTCAAATCCTGCTTCTACTACTTACTTGTTGTGGGATCTTGGGCAATTTTAATGACTTCTCTGTGCCTCTGTTTCCTAATCTGTAAATGAGCATGATAAAAATGGGGCCCTCCCTCTCAGGGCTAATGAGAAGATTGACTTATTTAACGTTTCTAACACTTATAAAGTACTTAAAACAGGACACGGCTCTTGGGGAGTGTTACTGTTCTCTCTCTGGCTTTGCCCCCACCTAACCACTCTCTCTCTGACCAGTGACCTGACCTTCCCTTGTGTCCCCTCTGAGGAGCAGTATGAAGAGCGGTTTCTGCAGGAAGAAACTGTGTCCCAGCAGATCAACTCCATTGAGCTCCTGCAGACTCGACCCCTGGCCCCACCTGAGGTGGTGACGCGGCAGCGACCCCTTCACAGGCAGGTCCATCTGAGGGGTCGGCCGGCCTCCAAGCCCACCGTCATCCGGGGCATCACCTATTATAAAGCCAAAGTCTCTGAGGAAGAGAATGACATCGAAGAGCAGCGTGAGTTGGGGCCAGCAGGGAGGGAGTGGCCATTTGGACCAGGTGAGATGGAGCCACACACACCTCCCACAGTCCGGATGACTGTTGTAGCCCCATGCTGCAGGATTACAAGTTATCCAGAATTGTGGTGCAGTTCTTTATAACTTACTGAGTGGTCTTGATGCAAGTGACTTAACTTCTCTGGGCTTGCAGAAGACCACATGATAGAATGTGGCTGAGCTGGAAGGGACTTCAGTGCCCTCTAGCTCAGTCCTCCCTGTTTGCAGATTTGAGAGAAACAGTTTGGGGAAAAGACTCCTTAGAACCACATGGTAGGCTTCTACCACCTGTTTCTCCCTCCAGGGCCTTTGAGCTTGCTATCTGAGCCTCCAGAACCTCCCCCTTTGGATCTCATCCTTATTATTTATTTATTTATTTTAACAGAAAATAGCTTATCCCTCTCCTCATCATTTTAGTCTTGTTTCCTTAACACTTCCTCTGCCTGTGCTCTTCCTGGTCTCCTGCCTCCTCCCGTCCTTCTCTTGTCTCCTTTCTATTCCTTGTCCCCGGAGTCCCCCAAAGGCCCCCATTCTTTTCCTGTCCCCAGGCGAGCTCCTTCCACCACCTGGTCTATGCAGCGGCCTCCGGGGTATGCTCCCTCCTTTGGTCTTTTCCTCCATCCAGTTTATTCTCAGTAGCTGGCGGTCATTTGGCTCATTCTGAACTGTGTTTTGGTCTTTTTATTCTTGTTGGTGACCTTATTGATTTGGGGGAGCTCTTTAACATATTCTGGATTTAGATCCTTTGTCATCGTATGGATTGCAAATATTTGCTCCCCACCTGGCTTGCATTTTCAGTTCCTCTTTCCTTTTCTTTTTTTTTCCCAGTGATGGGGAGCAAACCCTGGGCCAAATGCCTGCAGGCCAGGCAAGTAATTGACCACTGACCTGTGTGCCCTCAGCCCTGCTTTTCCAGTTCCTTAAATGGTGCTTCTGCAGAGTCCATGAAGTCCGATTTACTGATTATCTTTTTTGCAGTCTTTGTAGCCTCTCTAAGAAATCTTTGCCCTCCCATGTTTTGTTTCTGCTGAAAACCCTTCAGCCTCTTCTGTTTTACTTACAATAAAAATGAAAGTCCAGGCCGGATGTGGCAGCATGTACCTGTAATCCCAGCTGCTCAAGAGACTAAGGCGGGAGGACTTCGAGTTGGAGGCCAGCCTGGGAAACTTAACAAGACCCTGTCTCAAAAGAGAAAAAAAGGACTGGTGATGTCATCAGTGGTAGAACCCCCCTGAGTTCAATCCCCAGCACCAAAAACACACCAACAGACTGGAGTCCGAGCACAACCCAAGCCCCATGTGACCTGGCTCCTGATTCCCTCTGACCTTGCTGCCCTATTAGTCTCCCATCCACCCCTTCTGCCTCATTCTCTCTGTCTATCTTGCTGCGCCTGCACTTCCGCAGGCATGTTCTACCCTCAGGATCTTTGCACTACTGTTTTTCCCCGCCAGGCTATCTCCTTTTTCTCCAGAACTCTGCGCATCCCTTCATCTCCGTGAGCCCCATCTGACCACTGTATTCATAACTGCAGATTCATTCCCAGTGTACTTGAGCCACCTTACCCTACTCCCCCTCACAGCACCTTTAAACGGCAATCGATCCATTTATTGAGTGTCTCCACTAGTAGATAGCAGAAGCTCACGAGGTCAAGGGTCTTTATCTTGCTCAGTGTTGTTGGATGTGCCCTTTAAACACTTGTTGAATGAATGGACTGGATAAATCATGTCCTGCTGGTTATCAGGGTTCATAGCCTCCACCAGGGACCCCTGAGTTCCGGGTGGAGTTTAGCTGCAGTCTGTTCAGAAATACTCTCCAGGAAATACAGTGTCCTTTTGTCAGTGTCCCTTATCGCCTTCATCTAAAATCCCAGCGAGGGTCCATCTCCAACCAAGCCACCATGTTGAGAAAAGGAGTCCCTAATTCACTGGTGGGTTTCACTTGCTTTTGGCCAGGTTGTTTCTTACCCCAGGGACCAAATTGACCTTATCTCTGTTCCATAGAAGATGAACTTTTCAGTGGTGACAGTGGCGTGGATTTGCTGATTGAAGATCAACTCCTGAGACACGATGACCTACTGGCCAGTGCCACCCGGAGACCGGCAGCTACCAGTCATGCCGCTCTTGTAACAACTGACCTGGGCACCCAGACCGCACCCCTGTTCTCAGCACTGCCACAGGCCTCGACCTCAGCACCTGGCCTCACGGAGCCCACTCTCCAGGCCTCCTCTGAACAACTCTCGACCACCCTCCAGGCCACCTCGGTGTTTCCAGACCACATAGGGGAGCTACCTCCTACTCAGGTGCCACCCACCACTGTGGCCCACACAGCCACCCAGCAGCCTCCAGTCTCGGCTTCTCTGGCCATGGCTCCGGGAGACATGTTTGTGGAAGGGATGCACACAGTCCCAGTGCTTCCCACTACGGTCAGGACAAACTTCCCGGAGAAAGACGTAACTGCTGGGCAGGGCGCAACCCTAGCCAGCCCCACCCTGAGCCCTGAAGAAGAAGATGACATTCGGAACGTCATAGGTGAGTTCCTCCAGGTAAAAGACTGAGCCAGATGGTCAAAGATCTTCATAAAGAAAGGCAAGTGGGGGGGCTGGGGTTGTGGCTCAGTGGTAGAGCGCTTGCCTAGCATGTGTGAGGCACTGGGTTCAATTCTCAGCACTACATAAAGAAATAAATAAAGGGCCACCGACAACGAATAAAATAAAAAAAAGAAAGGCAAGTGGGGTGTTAGGGGTGTAGTTCAATGGTAAAGAACCCCTGTGTCAACCCTTGTACCCCAAATAAATAATCAAACAAACAAACAAACAAACAAAAAACAGATCACCAGATTTGCAAAAACAAATCCAAAAGGGAAGTGGAATTATGTCTTTGGCAAATAATTAATTTTAACATCCAGGGTTTATGAATTTAAAATGTGCCAGTGACAAGTTCAGAATCTCCTTTCCAAAATATATGTATAAATGAATACAGACAATATCTCGTCTTTATTTGTCAGTTTTATAGACATTTATCAAGTAGACTTTGTGATGAGTATTAAAGTACGTGCAATTAGTGAGTAAAGTTTTCTACGGTAATTTTACTTTATTTTATTTATTTGGGACTAAAGATGAACCAAGGGGTTCTTTACCTCTGAGTTACATCCCTAGTCCTTTTTATTTTTTATTTTGAGACAAGGTCTCACTAAATTATCCAGGCTGGCCTCCGGAGTCACTGGGATTACAGTGCACCGCCATACCTGGCATCGATAGTAATTTTGTCAGGCCTCATTATGAAATAGCAAAGGGTTGTTACTGAAGGCAGGTCCCAGAATCATAGCAGAGTGGGAGCAAGAGAATGATCAGTACGATGGGCCCTAGTGCAAAATCCTATGAACCCTATCCCTTGAGAACATGGAAACATTGTGGTATCATGTGACAAACGCTATAACAGAGAAACAGGAGAAATGAAAAAATGAAATAGGAGACACTTATTGGTCTGGCTGCTAGGAAGACCAGGGAATGTTTCTAAAGGAGACATTATTTGAACTGGGTTTTGAAGGATGAGTAGAAGCTTTTGATGCAAAAAAGAGAAAGAAGTCTTCTGATATTAGGTCTAAAGGAGCTAGGTGTGTTCCAGAAGCATGGAAGTTCCATGGCTACAAGACGACTATGAAAACAGTGAAACAGGAGAGTGAGGTAGGAGAAGGAAAATGGAGCAGTTACACATATGTCTTCCAAAAAGACCTAAACCAAATATTTATTAAGTCACCACTGAGAATCACTAAAAACTGCTAACGGATAATAATGTTGTCCAAATACTTGTGGAGCAGGGTGCAGTGGAGTACATCTATAATTCCAGGGACTCAGGAGGCTGAGGCAGGAAGATTGCAAGGTCAAGGCTAGCCTGGGCAATTTAACAAATCTTGTCTCAGAATAAGGCCAGGGATTCACCCTGGGTTCAATTCACAGTCTCTCTCTCTCTCTCTCTCTCTCTCTCTCTCTCTCTCTCTCTCTCTCACACACACACACACACACACACACACACCCAACTTGTTGAAAATACACAGTTTGCCTTATACATCTGTTTTCCTTCTCCCCAATTTCCATTTACTTGGCAGCCTTGTTCCCAATCTGTCTTCAGAATAAGATGTGAAGATGTCAGCTTCTTGTAGACCCAATGTATGGAAGGAGCACCCACCGGGAGACACACCCCTGGGATGGCCTGGTCCCTGCCATTGTGTAACCCTGTTTACATCCCTGCCTTTTGATCAGAACCGTCACTTACATCATTATCCTGGTGTTCTGCTAAAGTTCACCACACCCTGATATAGAAGGGATTCTTATTGGGTAAAAATCCCAAAGTACTGGCAGAAACAAGGACACAGCCATTAAGAATAGACCCCAGGGCAAACCCTCATAAATGCTGGCCTGGAGAACACTGAGCAAGAAAGCAGTTCTGGGCCGTAGAGGCTGGAGTGGGAGCAGGAGAGAGTGTTTTTTTTTTTGTTTGTTTGTTTGTTTTTAATTTTCCTTCCATGGTAGCAGCAGCTAACGAGAGCAGAAGGCTGATTCTCCACTGCATGGATAAGTTTTGTTGCTCTGGGTGCCGCTTCATTTCTGCAGAATGCCTTGGGGTCTGAACAGAGGCTCCTACTTCTACACAGGCTCTAGGCAGCCTGGATTTCAAGCTTCTGGAACCACAGTCCTTTAGTCTAGCACACCACCCCTACTTTGCCACGGAGTGAGCTCTGCTGGGCACTGGTACCTCTACTCTTGAGCTTTCTATCAACCTTGGGTAGGAGGGCAGTTCCTGCTGGTATTTAGAAATCTGCTCTCATGGCCCCTCCACACGTAGACTGGACACTCATGGTATGGACAGGCTACAGGTGGGACTCACACACCTGTCTGTTCTCAAGCCATGGGTTTGAGCCTGGGAGCCTCTTCCTTTGGAGATGCACTAGCCAGGAGAGGCATTCCCCATTATCTCAATAACCAGCCTCCATCCTGGCTCCCAGCTTCTACCCTTTCCCTGTCTGTTTTTTCTAGGTTTTGTCACCAGTGGGCTTTTCCAGTGTGAATTCTGACTTGTACCTTTCTGGGGTCTTAAGACTGTGCCCCCTCCTGATGGGGATGCTGATGCCCCCAAAGAAAAACCCTTATCTTAGCAGCTATTTACTTGGGAGCTGGGGACTAGGGACACATATTCTCTTTTAACTAGAATAACTGTCAGGCGGAGAGGATTTTAGGCTCATTAGCCAGCAGTGTTTCCCAGAATAGCTGGGGTTTTGCCTCTGTGTTTACCCAGAAAAAACTTGGATGTGACCCAGGCATGGTGACACATGCCTATAATTCCAGTGACTCTAGAGGCTGAAGCAGGAGGATCACAAGTTTGAGGCTGGCTTGGGAAACATAGTGATATGCTGTCTCAAAATTAAAAAATAAGAAGGTCTGGGTATGTAACTCAGTGGTAGGGCACCTCTGGGTTCAGTCCCTAGTATCACCATATCATTTGGCTGAAACAGACACAGGCCACTGACTTCCTGCTGGGGGAAAGCTGTTTGATGGCAATTTTGATTTTTGAGCTGCTTAAGATGTGGTTTTAAACTGGGCTGCTTTTAAAAGGCACGTCTTATCCCAGGGTTTCCAAACCTGATTTTGGGATGTTGTAAAATGCCTACCATTATCCTCAGAAGAGTTGTAAGATTTTAGAAGAATGTCAAGCATAAGGAAATAAGAAATTATTCTTGGCTGAGCAAATAAGCCTTTGGTGGTAGCATTGCTCAAGAACAGGGAGAAGAAAGATGCTGTCAGTGACAGGAGCCAGGGCTGTGGGAAGGAGTGATGACCTTGGAGGTGGTGCCCTGCTCACAGCCTGGCTTGGAGTGGATTGCTTCAGCTGCTGCAGAGGAATAGAACAGTTGAGCCATGTGGCCATATGACTTTGCACGTCCTAGGCCTCATGGAAGATGATTCCTGGTGTGTTTTTTAGAAGGAACTGGTTTGGACAGGGAGCAGGGAGTGGGAAGGAGCAGACAAAGAGGACAGTCATCTTAGGACAATACAGGCAAGAGCCTGTCTCATATTTGCATCTAGGAAAAATCATGATCTGTAAAGAATGTCTCCCCCACAAAGCACATAGCCTTAACAATTCCCAAGCCTTGGCCGGCCACTCTGGCTGCAGTGTGAGATGGCCAGGCCTGCTGGCCTCGGGTCATGGAAGCTGCTCCGTGGCAGCTGGAGAGGGGATGCTGATGTGGACTAGGGAAAGTGCTTTCCAGAGACTCCAGCTGTGGAGTCTGCCCAGGCTTTTTCCTCATCAGTTTCTTTAAGTCCTTGACAGGCAGGTCCCTTCTGAATCCACAGGCACCCTGAAGGCTCCCCTAGTCTCACCCCTCAAACTTCTGGAAGCTTCAGTCGTCTTAGAACACAGGGGCTACTAACCCTAGAAGTAAGACAAGAGCCAGGCATGGTAACACATGCCTGTAATTCCAGCAACTTGGTAGGCAAAGTCAGGAGGATTACAAGTTCAAATCCAGCCTCAGCAACCTCGTGAGACTCTGTCTCAAAATAAAAAATAAAAAGGCTGGGAATGTAGCTCAGTGGTGGAGCATACCTGAGTTCAATTCCCAATACCTCAAAAAAAAAAAAAAAAAAAAGAAAGTGGGGCTATTCTTTATAAATGAATATGGATCAAAGTCTAAGCCTCTGGACAAGGATAAGGAGTCTACTCGTAATGTCTTCTGCCCATGCCAGGCCAGGCTAGAAAGATCCAGAGGGAGTGAGACATGATCCCTTCCATAGAGGAGCTAACTGCATGGGAAAGGCCACAGATGGCTAAAGGGGCAGAAAGCAAGTGGCCAATGCATGCTCTCAGGTTCCCTCTCCAAGGGTAGCCATGAACTTACCCAGCTCCCAGGACAGAGAGGAACCTGAGGCAGAGGTAACCGTGGGAGTCACGGGTGGGCAGGGCAGAGTGAAGGCAGCCAGGTGTATGCTCACAGCCTGGGATGACAGGGAGAAGGGTGAGATTCCTGGATAGGGAACCAGGGCCAGAGGATGAGGGGGCATAAGAAGTTAGGATTTCATTCTAAAAGTGGTAGGGAGGGGTCTGAGCATGGAAACAATGTGCAGATTTGATCAGTTGTTATAATGAGCACTGGCGGGGCTGGGAATGTGGCTCAGCGGTAGCGCGCTCGTCTGGCATGCGTGCGGCCCGGGTTCAATCCTCAGCACCACATACCAACAAAGATGTTGTG